AATATATCATATACATGTTGTATTCTTGCTCCTATGGATACATCTAGTTTCCTAGGGTGTTTTTGCCATTCATTCCAAATTATTTCTCCTATTGGTCCTTTAATTTTTGTCATATAAGTATCTAATAAATTAAGATCATCAATTCTACATGTTCTACCTAAATACTTGAAAAAGTCTGAAGTATATTCACTAATATATTGTAAATCACATATTTGTAATTGTTCTAATTTTCTTATGGCTCTAATTTGTTCTTGTTCATTTCTACCATCTAATCTATTATGATCTAAGAATTCATATTTAATTAATTTAACAAAAGCATCTATATTAAACATTTCTTTTGTTGCTTGATGTTCTCTTGGATTTTTAGTTTTCCATGCTTGAAAATAATCAAAAACCATTCCATCTAAAGTATGCTCAAAGTAATCTAATATATCTTTATTATTGCTAAAATCTAACATTAATGCTGCATGTACACATCCTTTTTCCCATCTTTCTATAGTTTTTTCCCAATCTTGTGGGTCTACATGGTCTAAGTTTAATATATTTCCTGTTAAACTAATTTGTTCAATTCCTTTATAACGGATTCTATTTTTTCTTAATCCAAATGTTTCTTGTTGAAATGCACTTCTACTAGTTTCTTCATTATTTTCTCTATATGGTTCATTAGTTTGCCTAAGATTTTGTTGATCTGTCCTACTTGCAGGGGTTACAGATGGTCCAGTTGAACTATATTGGTCTTCTATTGGCATGCATTCTACTTCAATTAACATATTTTGATATTCTTTTTCTCCTAAAATATGTTCTAATCCTATATTTAAAATCAAATCTTTCATTTCTCTATCTGATAATCTATGTAATCCTAAATCATAAGTTCTATATTTTTCTATATATTCTTCTTCATTTAAATTATCTATGTATCTATGAGTTTATCAACTATATTATCAAAATTATGCTCAATCATATTTATTTCTAAATTATCAAATGCCATATGTATTTCTTCTTCTAATTCACTTTCTAAGTCCTCTATATCATTTATTTGTTTATAATTAGTAAATCTTACTATCACTTCACCTACACTATTTTCAAAGATTTGTGCATTATCAGGTTGTCTATTTTTTGCTACTTGTAAATTGGGTAAAATCCATTCTGTTCCTTCTAAAAAGCTATTATCTACGAGTTTTGCCTCTATCATATTAACATGTTTACTACCAAAAGTTTGTACTAAATTTTGGAATTCTACATTAAATTTATAATTATAGTTATGTGAAATTTTTCCTACATGCATAAGACTAATACTTAAATTTTTATATTCTCCTTTCATATTATAATATTTTGTCCTTATACTGATTTTAATATGTTTACTAAATTCTCTAATATTCATAACATAATTAGGAATACATCCTATGACTGCTAGGTTTGTGTAAGATCTACTTTTGCTGTAGCTATAGTTGCTTGTTGATGGTTATCCCATCTGTCATCATATATTTATACTAATGCTTTAGTTCCATTGATATAAATTATATTTATTTTTCTGAGATTTTTCAAAACCTTTTCTAAGAAATTCTTGTGCTTCTTGTTCACTAGGGTATATATCTTCTGTTCTAACTATTTCTTTTCCTTTTCTTCTAAAGAGTTCCATTTACTATTATCAAAGGGATTTATTCTGCCTCTTCTTTTATAAGGATTATTTCCTAAGGATAAATGATCTAATTTATCAACTAAGTCTTTGGGTAGTGTGGAAGTAGTTTTGTGTACTATTTGATTAATTTCTGTTATTTGTTCTTCTAATTGATCTACTTTTTCAGCTAGATTTAAGATTAATTGGATAATTAAATTATTTTGTCTTATAGGGATATTACTACTTGCTACAGATGTTGTGAATTCTATAAGACCTACTGGTTCCTTATCTAGTTCACCAACTTCTTCTAATGCTTTGATATATTTATTATTAATTTTAGAATATGTCATTAAACTAAAAGTCTATCTATTTTACTATGCAACTTTTCTACTTGTTCAGTTAATGTTTTTTGTACTAGTTGTATTTTTTGTACTTCTATTTTTAATTGCTCAATAATTTCTAATGACTGAAGCTCTATTTGTTTTGGTTTGCTATCTATAAGATCTATGAGGTCTTTGATTTCTTTCTTGCTAGGAAATCTTTGAATATTCCTATTATTATCTTCTAATTGAGATGTTATATAGTCTAAGTTTTGTCTAATTGTTTTTAGGGAATTTTTCTGAAAATATTCTAATAACTGTTGAATTACTGTATTATGTTTATGATGTTCAAATTTTACACTTTCTGCTTGACTAATTAGAAGGTCAACAATGCTATTTTCTAAGGGACTGTTACTGCTATGTAATAGATGTTTGTGTTCCTTTTGTGGAAAATAACAAACTAACGTATTATTATCTAAAGTTAATTTTTTCTTTTGTTGTTCACTAATTTCTAAATTAAGGTACTCTATCATATAAATTTATCTAAGTCTACCTTTTACTTTTAAGATGCCTAAATGCTCCTAAAATGCTTTTATGGATTCTTTACAGACTTCTAAATGGTACTGGTTCCTTGTTATGCTATTCTGTACTTCTAGTTTTCTTCTAGGATAATTACCTACTTCTGGTGATTTTATTAATTCTTCTAAGTTCCTAATTTCTCTTTGGTATTCAAACTTCTGTCTCTTTAATTCTTGTAACCTTTCATTTATTTTAATAGATGTCCACCATGGGCCAAACATGTAAAAGGGTTTACTGTTCTTAACTGGTGATTTTAGTGATTAACAAAATTTTAACATATTATAAAACGTTGGTTTTTATCAGTTGTGTTGATTGACTTTTGTCCTCAAGGTACTTTACTATCATAATCATATTACTAAGGTGCTAAACTAAAGCTCTGATACCATTTTTGACAGCGGGTCTCGGTCAAGGTTTCTAAAGGCTAAGATAACAACTAGACACCATGCCTAGAACATGGAACTAGAACATGGAATTGCAAGGACGCCAACTTAAAGCGCTATGAAGCAGAACTCAGAGGTCCTCTGAACTCAGAGGTTCCCTGACAGACATCTAGTTATTGTTATGACAAATATCAAACATGACCAAGTGCTCAAACAAAGTATTGATCGTCAGTTTAGCAAGATAATAACATAATTATAAAAGCGTTTCCCTGTTTTGGACAAGAAGTCTACTAAGAAAACCAAAAATAAAAGGGAAAAAGACTTACTTAATTGCTTTTGTTGCTGGAACTACTGTTATGGCCGGGTATTAACAATGGTCGGCGGTATTAACAGTGGTTGGAGTAAGAGAATAATAAGAGAAATAAAAGAAAGTATATGAACAAAGGGAGTTTTATTGATTAAAACTGAAGGAGGAAGTATTGAGATTTTTTCTTCTCTGGTATTGTTGGTACTTCTCTTCTTCGGAGTTACAAGCTATATACACCATTTTCACCGACTCTACGAAGAATGGCTAAGGATGAGAGGAGAAACCTCTCTATCTGATACTATCTCTCTCTGAACTCTCTTTTACACTTCATATGTACTTCACATGCACACAATATAGAATCCAAAAAATTCCCATGACTATTTCAGATTCTCATGTACAACTTGAAATATGGACTGCTACACTGTTGTTATTGCTGCTGGCACTGTTACTGTGCTGCTGTTCATACTGTTACTGCGCTGCTGCTGAAACAGAACAAGACTTCACATGTTGCTTTGGTCTTTTACGGAGGAGAGAGACTTAGGGGCTTGCATGTTTTTGATGCTAAAGATAATGGTTTTTTCGTAATTTTGAAAAGTTTTTGGGTGTTTTTATAAGCTGCTTGCTTCTTTTGGGGTTTTCACTAAATTCCTATTAAGTTTAAGTTGTCTCATAGATAGAACTTAACTGTAGGAGACCCAATCGGTTCAAGTCCAATGGGCCTTGAAATTCAGTTTCAATTTTAAGGGCACGTAATCAAAAAAAGGCCTCCTGCACATGCGGAAGGGAGGGAGGCTAGTATTCATAAAATAAGGGTATTAAAGTGAATTAACAATATTTATATTTAAAATTCAAATTAACAAAACAAAATGAGAACATGGGTCTTATTTTCATTGGACACAGCTAGATCCGTTTCCTCTTTCTTAATTTTAAATTGAATTACTAATATTAAAAAAAAAGTTGTGAAAAAAAAAACTAATTTGCACACGTGTGATATTTGGTGACTAGTAATATGGACACAAAATTTGATAAAATCTATATATATAAAGCAAAAGGCGAGAATAGTGAAAATATTTAAAATACCAGAAAATGCCTTAGGTTAATGCAAACATTAAAAATTGAAAGTATTAATTAAATGAGGATAATATGGTAAATTCACTTTTTTCTTCATATTAAAAAAATTTAAAATTTAAAATAAAATCAGATAATGAGTCTTATTTTTATATAACATAACTAACCATATCTTTTTTAATTTTAAAATAAAGAAAAAAGGTAAACTAATTGGCTTGAGCGTGTGCCAAAGGGCTAGCATATGATAATGTACGACATATTATTGTCAAATACTAATGTGGAGCAAAGAAGTGGTGCTAAATTGTAAAGTAAAAATGAAAAACCAAAAATTCATGCTTGTTAATTAAGGATGTAGGATGACATGAAATTCTTAAAATAGGTAGATACTAATTAAGTGTGAACCACAGGTCACAGATAAAAGAAGCCCCCAAATGGGGCGGTCAACCATCAAAAGCTAACACGGCTTCCCTCCTCCTCCCCTCTCATTCCAACATCATTTCCTTACAGAAACTTTTGTAAATTTCTCTGTGTCGAGCTAAGAAGCAAGAGCCCCATTCTTAATTTCTAGCTATTTACCTCGTAAATAAAAGAAGAAGAAAGAAGAAAAAAACAACAGAGACTTGTATGGTGTTGTAATTCCATGACATAAATTTAAGGAAGAGGTAGAAGCTAGGTATGTCCGTAGCATAGCTGTTTTTTATTTGTTATTATTTTCATCGTGGTTGTGGTGGTGGCGGTGACATCGGTGTCTAGGTGGTAGAGGAAATTAATTCAAGATGGCGGCGGCGGTAGCTGCGGTGAAAGCTGCGGCAAATAATTCGTCAGATGGTTCAATAGTGTGTTATGCGCCAACCATGATCACCACAAATGGTATATGGCAGGGCGACAATCCTTTGGACTACTCCCTCCCGCTCTTCATTTTGCAGTTAACTATGGTCGTCATTACTACTCGTATCCTCGTTGTCATTCTCAAACCCTTTCGTCAACCTCGTGTCATCTCAGAAATTATGGTACCTATAATAATTTCTCATTATAACTACTTATTAGTTGAAAGCATGCAAGTTCTTTTTGTTTCTATATCCATCTCTATATATGTTCATGTTGTATAATAAATTCCATTTATTCATTTAGTCGAAAATTAATGTAACCATGCACATATATATATATATGATTAATTTAAATTCCAAATTCTGGTAATGTTTTCGGAATTTAAATTTGTATAAACTAAACAAATTAATTGATGATTTCGATGGCATATGAATATATACAGGGTGGAGTATTATTGGGGCCATCGGTGCTTGGAAAGAGTGAAAAATTCGCCACCACAATATTCCCTCTAAGAAGTGTGATGGTCCTGGAGACAATGGCAAATGTGGGTCTCCTCTACTTCCTCTTCCTTGTTGGATTGGAGATGGATATTTCCGTAATTCGGCGCATGGGCAAGAGGGCCGTCGTCATTGCCATTGCCGGCATGATCCTCCCCTTTCTCATTGGGGCCGCCTTCTCCTTCCTCCTCCACAAGCGAGAGCAACCCATGAACCAAGGCACTTTCATTCTCTTCCTCGGCGTAGCCCTCTCCGTCACCGCCTTCCCCGTACTCGCCCGAGTACTGGCCGAGCTCAAGCTCGTCAACACCGAGCTCGGCAGGATCGCCCTCTCCTCTGCCCTCGTCAACGACATGTGCGCCTGGGCCCTCTTAGCCTTGGCCATTGCCCTTGCGGAAAATGACACCTCCTCATTGGCCTCCCTCTATGTCGTCCTCTCTAGCGCAGCCTTTGTCCTCATATGCATCTTCATCGTTCGCCCTGCCGTGTGCTGGATCATCCGAAGAACCCCCGAGGGAGAGAGCTTCAGCGACTTCTACATCTGCCTCATCCTCACCGGTGTCATGATCTCGGGCTTCATCACCGATGCCATCGGGACCCACTCTGTTTTCGGGGCTTTCGTGTTCGGTTTAGTCATCCCCAACGGGCCTCTGGGCGCCACCCTGATCGAGAAGCTGGAGGACTTCGTCTCGGGGCTTTTGCTTCCTCTTTTCTTCGCAATTAGCGGTCTCAGAACCAACGTAGGCAGCATCCAGGGGCCCGGCACGTGGGGGATTCTGTTACTGGTCATATTTCTGGCATGCGTGGGGAAAATTGCAGGCACTATCATTGTCTGCCTCTTCTACCAGATGCCCTTCGACGAAGGCTTCACTCTGGGCCTGCTCATGAACACCAAAGGCCTGGTTGAGCTCATTGTGCTCAATGTCGGAAGAGACCAGAAGGTTTTGGACGACGAGGCGTTTGCCATTATGGTGATTGTGGCGGTCGTGATGACCGGAATCATCACCCCCATCGTCACCACCGTTTACAAGCCGGCCAGAAGGTTTATACCTTACAAACGACGTAGCATTCAGAGATCCAAGCCCGACGCAGAGTTGCGAGTACTTGTCTGCGTCCACACCCCTCGAAATGTGCCCACTATGATCAATCTCCTTGAAGCTTCCCACCCCACTAAAAGATCCCCGCTCTGCATCTACGTCCTCCACCTGGTGGAGCTAAGCGGGCGGGCTTCCGCCATGCTCATTGTCCACAACACTAGAAAATCTGGCAGACCTGCGCTCAACAGAACGCAGGCCCAGTCGGATCACATCATCAACGCTTTCGAGAACTACGAGCAGCACGCCGGCTGCGTCTCCGTGCAACCGCTCACAGCCATCTCTCCCTACTCCACAATGCACGAGGACATCTGCAACTTGGCGGAGGACAAGCGCGTCGCCTTCTTAATCATTCCCTTTCACAAGCAGCAAACAGTGGACGGAGGGATGGAGGCCATGAACCCCGCGTTTCGAACAATGAACCAGAACGTTCTTGCAAACGCTCCTTGCTCAGTTGGGATTCTCGTGGACCGAGGCCTCAACGGCTCCAACCGCTTGGCTGCCAACCAAGTGTCTCATCACGTGGTCGTTCTCTTCTTCGGGGGACCCGACGACAGAGAGGCGCTGTCCTACGCGTGGAGGATGTCGGAGCATCCCGGGATAAGCCTGACCGTGATGCGGTTTGTTCCTGGGGATGGCGCCGGAGGAGCGGAAAGCGCTTCTGCTGCTGCTTCCGCCACTACCGCTACCGATGCGGAGGGAAACAATTCAAGGATACTGTCGGTGGAGACAGACTTAGGGTGGGAGAAGCAGCTGGATGAGGAGTTGATCAATGATTTTAGAATGAAGAATGTCAACGACGAGTCCATTCTTTACACTGAGAAGTTGGTGAATAACGGAGAGGAGACGGTGGCGGCGATTAGGTCAATGGACAACGTTCATGACCTGTTTATTGTGGGGAGAGGGCAAGGCATGATATCGCCTTTAACGGCGGGACTGACGGACTGGAGTGAGTGCCCGGAACTTGGCGCCATTGGGGATTTGTTAGCTTCTTCAGATTTTGCAGCGACAGCGTCGGTTTTGGTGATGCAACAATATGTTGGGGATCAAGATCAAGGCCCTGCGGAAGACGTAGACACCCTTCAAACGCCAAACAGCCCAGATGAACAAAACGCACAGTTTAACAATGCCAACCAGATAAACCGCCGGTCTACACCACCCAGGCCCCAAGATGGTTTTAACCCCTAATTGTCAATTTTTGTTTTCACCATTTTTCATTTTTCAATTTTTGATTGTTTATTGCGAAGAAAGAAAGAAAGAAAAAACACAACAATAACGATGATGATGCTGTTAATTACATCATGGCTTTTGTAATTAAACAACTAGTTTTTTTGTTGTAACTTAACTTCTTGCCTTTGATCAGACATCTCTATTATATAATTTACTTCAATCTTCTAGTGTTCAATGAAGAAGCTCAAAACGGTTTGGTCCACATTGAGACTCGTTGGCTCCTCCCTACCGGCAATGGGTGATTTTTCTCTGAGTTATGTCTCATTCATGAGGTTTTTACCTCTTTTCTCCTTTCTATTCATCCTCAATTTAATTTCCCCTAAGTTAAGCCCGAGCCTTAAAACCCTAATCCACACTTACTCCCCCATCCACCATCACTGTTTTCTAGCCTCCAACTCTCACTTCTACACTCCCTTTATCCCCTCTCTATTATTGTATCCTCCATCGCATGAGACTACTTCCTGCAACCAGTTCCTGTTGTTGGGAGGCGTTTAAAGTGCAGTGTGTGCACTCTTTGCTTGGATTATATCCTACTTGGGCTTGCTGTGGGTGGTGTGGTGTTGTGCTATGGCCGTGGGCTTAATTTGATAAAAGTAAAAAAACAAAAACAAATAGTCATTGGAAAAGCCCATTGCTTAAAACTGGACTGCAAGAGGAAGACCCAACAAACTAGGATTGGCTAGAAATTACACAAGTCATATTGCAAAGAGAGTATTTTTGCTCATCACTTTAATTCAAAGTATACATTCACAACCATTCTCAATATTTGACATGTATTCATAAGCATAACTATGGTTCCCTAAATACAAAGTAAAAAGTTAACTATGATTAAACCCATAAACACGTATCAAGTGTTGAGAAGAATAATAAAACGACACTTTGAGTTAAGGTGGCCAGCAAAACAAATAACAAGATAACAAAATAAGAAAACAAACCAAACGTGCAGAAGACGACAGCAAAAGTCACAATCCAGCTCCACCAATTCCACGTTCAAGTCAATAAAGCTGAACAAGGAACCAAACGAACCAGCAAGAGGAATAAATAATCATTGAAGCTATAATTAATTAAGGGTAATTAATTAATTAATCAATAGTTAATATATTTCTAGTTCCATGGATTGCGTGTGCCCCTCAGCTACCTTGCTAATTTAATATTTTCTTTGACGGTTCAGATTGTTACAATTGACTAAAATGTTATTCTTTTATTATAAATATAATGGATATATTTGAATGTTCTACTGGCAGACAAGATAGGGTTCAAATTCCAAATTTTTCTAATGTCACTTTCTAGTTTGGCTCTGTCTCTCTCTAGAACTTCTTCTATCTAATACCTTACCTATTGCCGGAGGGAACAATTAAATTTTGTTTTGTTGCCTTGTTTTGCTCATTTTAAAATGACCAAAATAGGTTGCTTGTCTTTTCTCTCACATTTAGCATTTGGGCCACCCACATTGTTTAATTTTTTTTTATAGGCAATGTTAATTGCCTCTCTGTTAAGTATGCAAGCTGATACAATCCCACCTGCAATGCAATGCCTAAATACTCCACTATCAATCAAATCAAACTTTAACTAGTCATTTTGTGTGTATATTATAGTCTTAAAGCACGCCTAATCCCCCAACACAGTCGCCAGGTTTTTTTTTATTGTAAGGGCTTTGTAGTTCAAGTGGTTAAAAACATTTAGGGCTTATTCACTCGAGGTTCTAGGTTCGATAACTCCCACTCTCAATATCGCTTATGTAAAAGAAAATCTTTGATTTTCCATTGTAAGGTCCTTGTACCTCAAGTGGTTAAGAGCATTTATTTATTCACTCAAAGTCCTAGATTCGTTTCTCCCCTCTTTCAATATCACTTATATATAAAATAAAAAATCTTTGATTTTCCATTACAAGTGATAACAAAATTAAAAGAAACTATTGTGTTTTAATGGCTTTCATCATACTCTATTAATTGTCCTTTCTCCTAAATATCTTCTCACTCATGACTTTGGAATTGATCATCATACTACGACAATTAGGAATCAAATAGACGAAAGGTGTTCAATTTTGGCACTTCTTCCCACATTGAAAACAAAAATACTCCTAAAGCACTTTTGTTAGTATTGAGTAAAAGTATTATAACCTTTCATTGTGTTGTTCTTGCATGATAGAGTGAATGGGAAAAAATGTTGAGGAATACTTTGTATCCATTATTTTCCCAAACTTAGGTATATAAGTCTACTTAGGTAGATCACCGTTGGATCATGACAAGGAAGAAGGGGCCCTACCAGCTGCAATAAATTGACTAATAAGAAGTAGAAGTAGAATTAGAATGTTTGGTCTGAAAGTTTGGCCAGTCAAAAATCAAAGCATAGAGCAACTCTCCACTAAAACCAATGGATTCCATTTCACAATTCTTGTTTAATAAGTAATCGAGTCATAAGAATAATTTGAATTGAATACATGCTCGTGAATTAAGTCATAAGAATAATTTGAATTGCATGCTTGCACGGGCTTAATTCAAGCTAACTTAAGCATCAGATAACCTTTAGTTTCTATTGCACCAGTGTTAAGGTCCTCACAAATTCTTTCACTTGTCTTGCATATCAGTATTACCTAACCGAAAGACGGATATGTAGTTGAAAAGTTTCTTCACTTTGAACAATAGTTGAAAAAATTTCTTCCCTTTGAAGATGGAGAAATTGTGTGGGGGAGATGACGCAAAATTTGAATAGTTTTTTTTAGCTTGTTTGCTGCTAGGTAGTCGATATCTAGGTGTGGGATGCAAAAAAATAATCAATGGTGATGACCAATAAAACCTACCAATGCCAAGAAAATAATAAATTAATTTTAAAAGGTTTGGTTCAATGTAGGCGGTTTCAAATAGTTTAAATAAGACTAAACCAAACTAATTGCAATTTGGTTCAATTTGGTCCAGATTATAATTTTATACTATAAGAACCGAACCAAAGCACTCAAATTGATATTATTTGTTTAACTGGTCCGAGTAATTTTTTTTTCCCACCTCTAAACTCCATATTCATAATACTATATGATGATGTCAATATACATAATGGTGGCATATTTAATTTAATTATAGAATTTCACTTATAAATATTATAGTTTTATTTTTCTCATACTTAAGTTATTCTTGAATCTTCAAATATCATGAAGGATAATTTACTTGATATAATTTTTTTTTTCTGATCGAAAAAAGGAAATTTCATTAGCCGGAAGCATTGGTTACAATAAGGTCATCAACAATACAATTCATTAGCCACCAAGTCTTGTTCGTGTAAAGCAAAACAAACAAACATGAAATCTTAATCTTGCAACTCCCAAAGATGATTACTCCATACCTATAGCCGACCTCCTAGTAGATGGGGCAGCCAAGCATGAAATCTTGTCCTTCTAGGATGGACACTTTGACTATAACCAAATTTTCATAGAAAAGAAGGATTTCCACAAGACGATATTCATATGTTTGGGTTCCATTGGGACCTTTGAGTACGCGGTGATGTCCTTCGGCCTTCATATGTCTAGGAGCATTCTTTTCGTGTCAGGATAATAAATGTGTCAAGAATGCTCAACCGAAACCCGACCGATTTAATAAACGTGTCTTGTCGGATTTGAGTCATGTTAAACAGGTAACCTATTTAACAAATAATCAGGATCGTTATATTTGATTTCTTATCATTATTTGACCCAAAAAAAAAAAAAAAAAGGAATCCTTACCATAAATAAATAAGAATGTTTTCTACAGCCTTGCAAATTGACTTGAATGGATGACATGATGACATGTCTCTAGTTTATATTCCACATGTGTGATAGCTAGTGTGGAAGCAAATATTTGCAAACCCTAGGTCGAGTAATTAATCCCATCTATTTGGGGATTATTTGATTGAATTAGGGATTCTTGCCATAATTGGGGATTTGATTCTAAATTAAATCCCTAATTTGATTCGATCTCTCTAAGTTAAGGAAAAATAATTCCTTTCCATGTGAGGAATTATTCTTCCGAAACCCTAGTCATCAAGGCTCTTATAAATACATGGCCACGCATAAGGCAAGAGGTATATCTGAAACTCTGCAAAAATCCCCTCTCACAAACCTTGTTGCCGCCACCCTCTCTCTCTCTCTCTCTCACACACACACACACACAAGGCTCCAACCACCACACACAACTCCGGCCACCCAGTTCTCCCTGTGAGAAAAATACCTCATACCTTCCAACTATCTCTGTATTCTTCTTATAATCATTTAATGGACTTAGGTATCAGAGGGCCTTTGGCCAACACCTCCAGGTGTCGTCTTTTCACTCAGTGTTGTTTTACAGGGAGAAAGAGAAGTGAAGAGGAAGAAGGGATCTCAAGACGAATATTCTCTAGGGAGGAAAATCACTCCCACAAATTGGTGCTTTCATTGAGAGTGCAAGTTAATACTCAACGCACAAGCATACTGGCGCACAGCTCGAGAGGTCCCAAGCCGGTCGAATAGGGACGAATGGGTAGAGGAGAGAACGAGAACGTGCTGTTAAGCAACCAGGCGAGACGCAGACATCTGCAAGCTATTCTCGGAGCGATCGACGATTCGTTCAAGGTTATGTCCAAGGACCAATGTGCACGAGAGGCTGGGACCACAGTCCGATGTCCACACTCGCTTGGGCCCACAGGAAAGTATCCATTCTAGGCTGGGCCAGTAAGAAGCTCGAGCTCGAGAACATTTGCGTGACGAATGCAACCACCGACGCTCACCAACCCACTCGAGGAAAACCAACTCAAGGTGACAATCAATAGAGGAATCTTCACAAGCTCAATCTACCAACCCGCCCCACAGGCAGGACAACCAAGAGAATCGACCCTTTGAGGCTGAGGAGGAAGTTAACCAGCGACGTCTGAATCACGGAAGATGTTGACCCAAGCCATAAGCCTTGCGGGCAAAAGAAGTCGAGAGGCTTGTGAATGACCGACTTTAGAGTCTCCAATTTAAGGGAAACACGGAGGAGGCCTTGCGCAAGGAAGTTGATCAAGTGAACTCCTAGCCTTTCACTGATGAGGTGGAGCAAACCTCCAAAGCGGTTCACAGCACCGTTCATCACACAGTTCAAAGGGGACTTTGACCCTGAGAGCCATTTGAAGCACTTCAAGAGTGCTATGATCCTGTACAAGGCTGACGATGCCATAATGTGCAACGTACTCGTGATGACCTTGCAAGACCCATCTCAGTATTGGTTCCACACTCTACCGTCTGTGTTGATCGGCAGCTTCAAGGATTGTGCCCTCATTTTTACAAAGGAGTACACCTATTATCGAACGGTCAGAAAACAGGCTGATCACTTGGGATTAGCGCTACACACTCTGGGATGAAGATTGTATCGTTGTGAAAAAAGCAAGCAAGCAAATCAACTGGAAGCAGGCAAGTCAAAAGAACGACAAGTTCTATAACAAGAACTGGGACAAGTGCAGATTGCAACCCCAAGGAGGAGTCCCGGTAGTAGAGACCTTCATTGAGTTCGCTATCCTGATCCACCAGATTCTAGCCCAAGTGAAGGACAAACCTTGGGTGTAGAGACCAAGCCTCAGAAAGGGGACTCGGCTAAGACGGATACTAGTAAATATTGCGCATTCCACTTAGGGCATGGTCATTACACGAATGACTACTTTGCCTGGAAAAGGCACCTCAAGAGCTGGTCAGAGATGACCATTGCACAGAATTTATTACAAAGAAGGCCATCCAGCAAATCAAGGATCGTGACGCAGCTGCCAGGAACCTTCTCAGAAAGTCACACAGATCAACACGATCCTGGCCCGAATCCCAGGAGTCCGGGCTGACCACTAAGGAGCGAGATAGAAAGATCAAGTAGGCGACTTTAGACTCCCAAGTCACGGCCAGCGACCCAGCCATTGAGGACGCTTCTATCATTGCCTTTCAGAAAAAGGATCTGATCAGGCTGGATTTATCGCATAATGAAGCCCTCGTCATCTGCATCCAGATTGAACAAGCTGTGGTTGAGCAAGTCCACGTGGATGAGGGCAGTGCTACCAACATCTTGCAACTGTCAGTTGTCCAGCAGATGGGATTGGAACCCAAGATCAATAAGCTTGCCAGATTGCTCACTGGCTTCAACGGGGCAACATCAATCACTATGGGTACGATAGATCTTGACATCCACTCACCACCGGTGGTCTGTTCGTAGACCTTCATTGTTATTCCTGATGGTCAAGAGTGCTATGATCCTGTACAAGGCTAACAATGCCATAATGTGCAACTTATTCATGATGACCTTGCAAGAAGCAGCTCAGGATTGGTTCCACACTCTACCGTCCGCGTCGCAGCTTCAAGGATTTTGCCCTCATTTTTATAAAGGAGTACACCTCTTATCGGACGGTCAGAAAACAGGCTGATCACCTATTTAATATGCACAAGAAGCCTGACGAGTCTATGTGAGACTATATCAAGAGATTCAAGGCTGAGAAGGAGAACATCATAGGATGCGATGATCGAATCGCATCCTTGGCTTTCAAGAAGGGCTTGTTGGCCGAGCACGAGCTATACCGTGAGCTGACCATCGCCCTGAGCCAAACACTGGTAGAAGTCTTTGTCATGGCAGAGCGCTATGCACTATGGGATGACAACTGTATCGCTGCGAAGAAAGAAAGAAAGCAAGCTGATCAATTGGAAGCAGGCAAGCCAAAAGCACGACAAGTTCTACAATAAGAACTGGGACAAGCGCAAATCGTAGCCCCAAGGAGGAGTCCCAACAGCAGAGACCTTCACTGAGTTCGCTATCCCGATCCACCAGATTAAAGCCTAAGTGAAGGACAAACCTTGGGTGTAGAGACCACCGCCTCAAAAAGGGGACTCGGCTAAGACGGATACTAGTAAATACTGCGCATTCCACAGAAGGCATGGCCATTACACGAACGACTAATTTTCCTGGAAAAGACACCTCGAAGAGCTAGTCAGAGACAGCCATTGCACGGAATTCATTAAAAAGAAGGTTATCCAGCAGATCGAGGATCGTGACGCAGCTAATAGGAACCTTCCCAGAAAGTCATACGGATCAACATGATCCTGGCCCAACTCCCAAGAGTCCCGGTTGACCACTAAGGGGCGAAATAGAAAGATCAAGTAGGCGACTTTAGACTCCCAAGTCACGGCCGGTGACCTAGCCATTGAGGACGCTTCTATCATCAGCTTTCAGAAAAAGGATATAATCAGGCTGGATCTGCCGCATAATGAAGCCCTCGTCATGTAAGATCCCACATTGACCAATGGAGAGAGGGGGTGATGTGCCTTATATGTACATGCTCGCATCCATCTAGCACGAGGCCTTTTGGGAGCTCACTGGCTTCGGAGTCACCGCGAGAAAACTGCAACCTTACTACCCAGCTCACTGGATCATTGTCATGACCAAATTTCTTTTGAGATCAATTCTCCACAGCCCTGACGCTTCTCAGCGACTCATGAAGTGGGTTATAGAACTAAGCCAATACGACCTCCTTTATCGACTGAAGATTGCAATAAAAGCCCAGGCTTTAGCATACTTTGTCGTTGAATTCACTCCATCAACCGAAGAAGAAAAGCTGGTCAACAAAAACAAGGAAAGTTCGAGAGTAGGCAAGACCTTCTCCGCTGAGCCTGACCTACCCAGAGACATGTGGTAGTTGTGCGTAGACGGAGCGTCGAACCAAAAGAGAGCTAGAGCAGGCGTCGTCATAATCACCCCGAATGGAACCCTGTTGGAGCAAGCTATCACGCTTGGCTTTCTGGCCTCTAACAACAGGGCAGAGTACGAGGCATTGCTCATTGGCTTGCACCTAGCAAAGAAGCTATCAATCAAGAAGATGGCCATCTACTTAGATTCCCAGCTGATCACCAGTCAAGCATCAGGAGAATACATGGTGAAGCACCCGAGGATTGAAGGCATTTCCTACCTTCACCATCCAACAGGTGCCTCAAACAAAGAATGCACTTGCAGACGCACTGGCAATCCTGGGATTAGCGTTGGATACCCAATTCAGATGTTCTATCCCTAGGTCAAATAATTAATCCCATCTATTTGGGGATTATTTGATTGAATTATGGATTGTTGCCATAATTAGGGATTTGATTCTAAATTAAATCCCTAATTTGATTCGATCTCTCCAAGTTGGGGAAAAATAATTCCTTTCCATGTGAGGAATTATTCTTCCGAAACCCTAGCCACCAAGGCTCCTATAAATACATGGTCACGTACAAGGCAAGAGGTATGTCCGAAACTCTGCAAAAATCCCCTCTCACAAACCTTGATGTCACCACCCTCTCTCTCTCTCTCTCTCTCTCTTTCACACAAGGCTCAGGCGCACAAGACTTCGGCTACCCGGTTCTCCTTGTGTGAAAAAGGTCTCATACCTTCTAACTATCTCCGTATTCTTCTCAGAATTATTTAATTGACTTAGCATTGGAGGGCCTTTGGCCAACACTTTCTGGGTGTGATCTTTTCACTCAATGTTGTTTTGCAAGGGGAAAGAGAAGTAAAGAGGAAGAAGAGATCTTGAGATGAATATTCTTTAGGGAGGAAAATCATTCCCACAACTAGCAATTAGTAACTTTATTTTTTTGGGTGAATAAGTGGTAGCAACTAGTAACTAGCAACCTAAAAAGGTGACAAAAATAGTTTATTATGTTTTTTTTTTCAGAACCAATTGCATAATTGGGTAAAAATTAAAAATAAATAAAAAGAAAGAATAACGCGCATGCCCATACAAGAACCACTTGCATAATTGAGTATTGGGCAATAAGTATAAATAAATAAAAAGAAAGAATAAAAAAAATTAACAAATGCCCACATCTCAAATTCACAAGGTCTTAAAAAATAAAAATAAAAAAACCTGAATTTTGATAATTTAAACTAGTAATTTAAAATCGTGATTGAGAAAGAGAAATTATATAAAAAGAAAAAGAAAAAAAATGAGAAACATGAAAAAAAAAAAAATGAAAAAGACTTTGGGAATGTGTGAGTTGCAAGTGTGCCATTATTAGCAATTGAGAAATTCTAATAGACTTGAAAGTACATGTAAATAAATAAAAGAAAACTTGCACACCAAGTAAACTGACTTTAATCAAAAGATTGTGAATGGAAATGGTAAACTGAATCAATGAAGTTCTTTTCTATGTCTAATACAAAAGTTAAAGGGCAATAAAAGTAAATAAAGCAGTGAAAACAAATGAAAGCAAATTGACAAATCGATCAGAACTGCCACCACCTTGTATCAATTCTGGTTCAAGGCAGAGTTGAGGATCAAGCGGCAACAGAAGTATCATATCAAAACTGTGCAAAAAGGCAATCAGAATTGGCAGAGCAATAGACAACGAAAACCGGCGTGAAACGCAGGGTATCACCTTTTCCTTTCTAACTCATACATAATTCTTTCTCCAAAAAAAAAAAAAAAACTCATACATAATTCTTATCGTCTTTTTACCTTTGACTAAATTACAAAAAGGTTAGAAAACCAAGTGATAAAGCAGAGCTTGTTCTGTTCATGAACAATAGTTTTGTTGATGTGATTCCTTTATAATTGCCATTTTATATCTCTCTCTAACTTTCTCACACAGTCACGCGCACGCATAATTAGTTTCTCTCAAGGTCGTATTTGTAAAATTCAAACTTCAACGACATTAAATATTCAAACGGTGGGTCAGTTTGACTGAATGAATAAATGAGGAGAGACGTGGGGGGACCATTTGCCCCCAATTATTCTACTATAGTCTTAGTTGAAATCTCACTCTTTTTCTTTCTTCTTCACTGGGCTGGCTAGGATAAGATACAGAGTGGCCTCTCTTCTGTTTGCTTGCTGCTGTTCTCTTCTCATGCCTCCCACTGACTGATTGCACTCAAATTTCCTACTTCTCTCCTCCTCTTTCTTTCTCATTCTTATTCTCATGTGTTACTTTGTGAACTCCAAGCTCACAAAGTACTCTCTCCTCTGAGGCTCTCCTTGTAAGCTTCTGCACATTCTCTCTCTCTCTCTCTCTCTCTCTCTCTCCTCATTTCTGCACTTTTAACCTCATACATTCTGCATTTTGTAATTTTGTCACTTGGGTTTTGCTTTGATATTAGAGAAGTTGATGAGATGACCATTCCCCACTTGTTCAGATGCCCAATTAGCCTGGACTTGTTCCAAGATCCAGTCACTCTATGCACAGGTCAAACTTATGACAGGCCAAGCATAGAAAGATGGCTGGCTGCAGGCAATCTCACATGTCCAGTCACAATGCAGAAACTTGATGATCCAGCCCTTGTGCCTAATCACACTCTTCGCCATTTCATCAATCAGTGGCTGCAAATGGGCAACCAATTTGATCCTGATTACTTGGAAACAATTGGTTCTCTAGCTTCACTCAAACACACCCTTGAATCCCATGAGGTTACCTTAAAAAGCAAGGTTCAAGCACTCGAAAAGATTCGAGCTTTGTCCCAATCAGAACCACCATCCACAAGTAATTTGTTCCTCCAGTTGGGATTCTTGCCTCTACTTCTAGAACTTGTGTTTGGAGGAGAAGAAGCCAAACAGAAACAGAAACTGAAACTGGAACTCCCTCAAGAGTGCTACTATATAAAGTTTGTGGAGGATGCACTTTCTTGCACTCTAATTCTGCTACCTCACGGAAAATTGGAGTCTCTGAATATGCTCAGAGAAGAGAGCAAATTAGCATCCTTCCAAGCTTTATTCGCTCACGGCACTGCCTTGATCAGGATGAGTTTGTGCCGTCTCATAGAGGTAACATCAACATCCCCGGAGACAAAAGAACTCTGTTATATGTTTGGAAAGAACCATCAGCTCTTGCATCGGATATCGGTTCAGTTGCTTCAACAGAATTCAAATTCAGAGGCTGCAGATGCTGGAATCAAAGCCATATCAGCATTATCTTCCTTGGAAGAAAACAGAGAGATTCTGGTAAGACAAGGCGTGGTAAACGGACTCATAACATATATTAATTCAAGCACAGAAAGACGCGAAAGAAGCTTGGCACCATTGGCAATGGCCACACTTGAGAAGCTTCTACGATTAGAGAGTGCAAAAGAGGCAGTGATTAATTATAACAATAACAATAACAATAATAACAATTTGAACGGCGTTCATGCTCTTGTAAAGAAGGTTTTCAGGGTTTCGGATGATCACCAAGGCAGTGAGAGTGCCGTTGGGTGTCTAATAATTCTATGCAATGACTCTTTATTGGCACGAGAAGAAGCCATCAGTGGTGGAGTGTTGACTCAGTTGCTATTGCTGCTGCAGAGCCAGTGCAGTGGCCGGACCAAAACAAAGGCAAGAATGCTGCTCAAGCTCCTCAGAAGAACCACCTAGTCGTCTCAGTCATCAAAAGCTTCTGTGTAGGCTTAGTTTGTAAAGCTTTTGCGTAATTAATTAATGCCTATACAAGTCCTATTTGGTTTCTAAGGGCTTCTGTGTTTATTTGGTCTCCGTGTGGAGACAGACATCAAACTATTGGGAATCCAGGCCAACAAATAATTGCTAAACAAGATACTTTTACAAACTTTGCTCATGTGACCAAATAATGCACTAACCCAAAACACAAGATCTAAGAAAACAGAATCACATCCACTCAATTTTTTTGATGTTCTAATCTGTGAATTGCACCATGCTACCATGAATTATACTATCATATATATAAATATATCTGACTTAGAAAAGAACAAAAAAAAGAAAAAAGAAACATAAGGTTTGCTGATAAATAGGCAGAATAGCCGATGGATCGCCCTTAAAAATAGAGTAGAAACGCATCAAACGCCTGCATTTTTTTTCTGTCACAAATTTGTTAGTGTTCTATAAACTAAAACCTATTAGAAAAATTGTTCCAGTGGTTCCAGATATGAGAGTTGATCCCGTCATTGAGTTTTGTGGATATTCCTTTCAGGTCACCCATGCGATGTTTTCCTTATAATGAATGTGGACATGAAGAAAATAAATAATCCTAAAAATTAATAAATAAATAAATAAAAAAAGATTATATAGGTAAAACATGATTTGAAAAGCCATGGTCAAACACTCAAAGGTGATAAAAGTCCACATTCTCAACGAGGATGGGCACCAACGTTATGAGATGGTGCACCTTTTGGCTCAAAAGCAAAGGTGAAAGGTGGAAGCATTTGCTCCTCCATACACAAAAGCAATGCTACATTACCAAACAGCATTCCATGCTTCAAAAGTGGAGCGCCTCCAGTTTGTGCATTTCTGACTTTGACACTTAAAGAAGATGGAATGATGGCCAAATCACACTTTTGGTTACGGGGCTAAAGTTTAAATTTTGGGAATTATCATCTTCTAGTTCGCTTACTTTCGTAACTTTGGTCTCAATCACTAACTCCATCAAAATTGAAGACAACATATGACGAGGCAGCACGTGCACGTCTTGAGCGTAGAATTTCTCGACATTTCAAGTGCCCGACTTTATAAAAATAGTGTCTCCATGTTCTCAATTGGAGAAATGATGGAATTTAGGTCTGTAAATTGGGGTTTTAGGGTTCTTGGTGAATTTGAAATGTCATTTTGTGCACGTTCACACAATGTGCCGCACTATAAATGTCGAAAATGCCATGCACAAGACATGCAAGTACTGCCTTATCCAATTTCCATGTAATTTTAACGACATCAGTGATTGTGATCAAAATTGCAAAAGTAAGTAAACTACAAGACTAAAATTTGCCAAAACTACATACTAGAGTGGGAAAACTGCTAAAACTACACTGACCAAAAGTGCAATTTGGCCTAAAAGAAATGTTAAAATACAGTCTCAAACAAATTCATATGATGAGTTTATACATGAACTGTACACCATCAGAATGATGATTTTTCATATCATTAGGCAGGCTTTACCTTGTTTTTTTTTTCTTTTTTTCTTTCAATTTTTGCTATGGCATCTTTTATGCTTGTGCATATAATCAATCATATATCAAACATAGACAAAAGAGCAACAATATAAAACCACAGGCAGCTGTAAAGACTCAGACTCCAAGGGAAATGAAATGTCAGGTATCTTCAATAGTAAATCTATGAATGAGATTACCTACAGGAACTTTCAACTTTTTCACGTTTTCTTGTTTGCCTGATGACGGCACATCTTTCACAATTGCGTTACAAATCTTTGCACTCTCTACACTAACAAAGGTGTATAACAATAATTACTAGTACATAATGAAGCGTTAAGATTATGAAAAAATGGAAAAGAAATGAGAATACTAATAAAAAGGAAAAAGTTGTCTTTAATCACTGAGATAGCCATGATATTAGAACAGAATGGTAGCCAAACAAAAAGGAGAAGCATTATATAAGAAACCTGTAATTACAATGACAACATATCTTAGTGTAAATATTGACAATTTGCAAGTTACCACAAGATTTCAAATACGACCATGACTGTTTGGTTCATAATAGAATTACATCAAACATAATTCTACTATACCAGTCTCTAGGAAAGTGTGATGAAGTGATACAATGAACTAACCAAACTTGGAGGCCAATGTTTTGTTTCTTTTACATATGAGAGGTCCGTATAGTGAGGATCAAGAAGAGTTGCAATTGTGAACTGGTTTTCTGCGAGGAGTGGGGCATGTTTGTCCACATACAAGGCTGCTGCTAGAGCTGCATGCACTTCTGCAGTAAACCCAAACAAAACTGATTCACTAAAAATTGATGAGAATTTCCTTTGCTTAGCTCAGTAATGCAATATATAGTGAAGTACCTGGATATCCCTTCAAAGATATAGAAACATCCTCCATTTCTGCAATTGCTTCTTCTCTGTTGCCCACCTCGTACAAAATCAATGATCTGCCTACTCTTGCATAGTCTGAAAATGCAAAGTCATTGTACTTCTCAATCACCTGAAAAGATATACAGGCAACTTCGATGATATAAAGGCTAAGTTTTTTGGGGCAAGTCAAGCAGAAACTACACATATGACGCATGATATAAGAAATAATTCAGGTCTACCGGTATTATGGTTGACCCAAAGAACTACATCATCCTACACCTGGCTTGATCAACAATTTGCAGCAAGTATGCTTGTGGGCTTTCATTAATCAATGTTTCTTGATTAAACTCGACTTATATATGTCTCTTAACCGTTGCTGGTTCTGCCCACTAACCACTAGGTACAAGATGGTTCCTTACTGAAAGGTCTCATAGAGAACTTAAACAATGCGGCGAAAAAGAAAACACACAGCATAATTTGGACTTTTATAGAGATAAAAAAAAACCAATTGTCTTCCTATTGCACGCTTATGTCACACCACGTGACTATACAACCATCATGATGAATGAATTGTATAACAGGAGTTGGTTTCCGTTTAGTTCAATTTGGGAGGGGAAGAAAAAGGGGGATTGAAATAATTGGACAGGCAGAGAGTAGAAGGTGGCATTATCAAAATACTTAAACATGACATATGTACATTTCAAAAAGTCAAGACAATCCATAAAGATTACAAAATAGAAGACCAGAATACAAAATAGGAAATTAAAATGGGTGAACTACATTTAAGCCATGCCTTGTGCTTGTCTAAGTTGGATCTTCTATTTATTTATTTCTTTGTTTCTTCTAAGTAGGTCCGGCTATGCCAAGCACATGACATGGAGCCAAAGGAAATATCAGTTCAAAATCAGAAAACTACTTTGATAAAAACGCAATGGCAGGTCGTACTGTATCCTATCCAGCTCAGACCAAAGGGAAATATGGCCATCCACACACCTCCACGGACATATATGAACTAATTGGATTAAGCTTTATTTGATTCTAGAATATGAACTAATTAATCATTGTCCTATTATTGAACCAAAAAAACTGCACAGAAATCACAGGAATAACACATCTTAGGTACAAATATTTGAGAAGGCACATACGGCTTGACACTTGACCTGCATCTTCCTAGCCTAACGTTAAGTGGGTCACATGACAATCTGACATTGAAACCATTGGCTTCATTCGATGAACACTGTTCCTTTATCATTGACAGTCATTTGATTTCTATATGATTAATAAAATTCTAACTACAGAATCAGGTAAATGGTACCAATGGCGGCTGCTTTAAGCTAAATAATAATTGCCATTTTTAACTTCCAAAAGAGAGCTTAAAAATAGCTACCCAATTATTAGCCAATGCCCGTGTTTCCAAAGAAACTAAATATTAGCCAATGCCCATGTTTCGAAAGAACCCAAATATTAATCATACAAAGAATTCCGAACCCAGAAGTGAGGCAAAATCTAAAGTGAGTACCTGAGTAAAACAGAGAAGAGCTTGGTTAAAATCACCCAGAGCCTGCAATTCCCTTCCTTTCTCCAACAACTCCAAGGCATCAGATATTCTACTAGAAATCGCATCACTTGCGTCTCTCTCAGCAGCGCTTATCGGGTCGAAGTTTGACAGAGCAGAAGAAGAACCGGAAGGGGTTGAATTTACATCAATACTATTGCTGGTGATGTCACCACAACTACCTTTACTTGGAAGCAGAAAAGTAGCTAGAGGGAGCGTGAAGAGGACCAATCGCCTGCTCAGTAATGGGGTTTTGGAAAAGGGGTTTAGGGATTTTAGGTTTGGAGGTTGAGTTAATGAAGAAGAACAGGTCATGAGAAGATGGGGAATAGGTGCTTTACATGCGCCCATAATGTTGTTGAGTTTGGTGCCGAGGCTTTTGCAAGCTTATATCTATGGGTGATTTTATTGGCACCCAACAATCCTATTTTTTTAAGGGAAATTGGCGGCTTTGCCCCCGGCGCAACTAATTTATTCAATAATATTCCCATTTTGAAATCAAATCACAAATACCCCCTATAAAAACTCCCTATTGACAGTCTATTGCCCATCCTTCACTTAGTTTTTGTTTTCTTCTCATTCGTTGCTCTTCCTCTTCCTCTTCTCTCTAGTCTCTTCCTCTTCCTCTTCTTCAAACCTCACAGAAAATCCACCTCCACGAATCTCACATAACTCCATATCCTCTTAGTTATATCTTCCATCTCCTATCTTTTCTTGTTTTCTCTCTCTCGTTCTTGCCCACGATGACGGCAACTGTCACCTGTTCGGTTCATTTTTACACATGATTTTTCATGTTATTCTCCCACTATTTTGAGTTAGTTCTTGACATTTTATAGCTTTTTACTTCTTTTTTGTGTTTTAATAGGTTTTACCTTGGTTTGTATGAAAATGAGCTAAAAGTGCATTATTTGATATAAATTCTGTTTTTGTTCATTTTCGTAGGTCAACTTCGTGGCCTTGGATCAGCATGTTCCGGTCCTTGGATGAGGTGATGATCTTCATAAGACTTGTTCCAATGGATGTTAACTACAACATATCCAAATTTGAGCTCCATTGGACAAGTATTGCCTATCCAACCAATCCAG